GAAATTTAGTCCACTTTCATTTTACTCTTCCATTTATACTGTTGTGAGAACCCTGTTTTTATGAGCCGGGATAGCTCAGTCAGTATAGTGACTAGCTACGGGCTGGACGACCGGGGTTCGATCCCCGACGGGGGCAGAGGATTTTTCCTCTAGCCTCTGCGTCCAGACCGGCTCTGGGGCCCACCCAGCCTCCTCTACAATGGGTACCGGGGTCCTTTCCCGGGGGTAAAGCCGGCCGGGGCGTGATGCTGACCACTCACCCCCATGTAGTGCCGAGGTCAAGGAAGAGAGGAGCTATACCTCCACTCACCCCAAATGCCTACATGGCATATAGTGGGACAAACTTTACTTTTTTTTATGTTGGTTATTAGACTCCATTGGTAGTGATTTCTGTTAATGTCATGTGTATTGAGAGTTAAGACATTTATATTCCTGAAGAAGCTGTTTTGTTTCTTCTGTTGGAAATGTTTTGGATTATTAGTACTGCCTTTTCATGTTCTGTGTGACAGTAATAGAAGAAAGACCGAGTTAAAATATTTGGGAATGAGAGTAATGAATGAAGATTACATTCAAGATGTAATGGCCTAATTTTAGGGACTATCCAAGAATTTGTCTCCACAGGCTGAAGAAAACCATGAAATATCTCAGTCATGATAGCAAACCTTCAGGCTAATATTTGAACCCAGGATCTTCCAAATATGAGGCATGATTGCTACCCATTTAGCCATGACCTTCAGTCATACTCATGAATAATAAAATATACAAAATTATAATTTTACATATTGTTTTGTATGAGTTTGAGGCTTGTTTTATACCCTGAAGGCAAAGCATGCTTTGATGGGAAATGAGAACAAGTGTAGAGAATGTTTTGACCTGAGGAAGAAGTAATAGAATAATGGATAATATTACATGAGGAACTTCATAATTTGTGCTCTTGTTAGGGCAGTTATGTCAGGGTTGATGAGATGGGCAGGGCATATTTCAAAAAACATTAGATGAAATCTATGTGTCTGGTATATTTATAAATTATTTTTGTGAAACACATTACTTGGATTGAAACGTGCATCACATCTTTGAATACTGCTTGTAATGTTTTCCTTAATACAGGAGCATGCTCGTAATGCCTGCAACAAGCTGCATCCTTGTGGCCACATGTGTGGAGGCATTAAGGGGGAGGCAGTGTGTTTACCATGTCTCCATGGCTGCTCAGCCAAACCCACTCTTAAGCAGGATGCTGATGACATGTGCATGATCTGCTTCACAGAGGCTCTTTCTTGTGCTCCAGCTATTCAGGTAAAGTGGTGAAATTACACCAAGGAAGACAGAATATGCGAACGTTTTATAATCACTCATGTTGATTTTGATGCTATGGTTTACTTAATGTATAGTTTAATAAATGTCTGATTTTTAACATTGTAAAATGGTAAATAATAGTGAATAGCAGAGTTGATTGCAGATAAGAAATTGTGCGAAGAACATATGACTTCCAGGTAGGTTCTTATTGTGACAGATGTGAAGATGGCTGTATACCAGGTATGTTTCACTTTATATATAGTGAGGTTGGTGCAACTATAAATTAATAATAATTTATTGATCCATTCTTGTTTATTGCTTATCACCATCAGTTGGACAGCTGAATATAGGTTTGGTGTTGCCATTTTATTGTTGAATATTTTTCATGATCCATTGCCACTCAAAATTTCAGGACTCTACATTAAGTGGTATTAGTGCCACTTCTGCCTCAGAATTTTACATGTGTGCCATGTTGGTATTATTGTCATGATGGTCATACCAAATTTCAAGAAAATCTGTAAGTTGGTTCAAAGGTTGTGAAGGACATGCTTGTCCTTCCTCATGAAATAAGATAAACTAAAAATTTATCTGATCTTGTCTTCCTGAAGACAGACAAGTATTACAAGATTTTGTGTGGATTTAGTTGAAATAAGCATAGAAGAATTTGAAATTATGAAAAATTATTTACTTCACAAAAAGTGTTTGAATGTTTAAATAAAATGTGAAAGATTACTGAGGATTTTTATTTCCACAAGAATCATGAAAGAATTTACTGTGTAACAGTTAAAAGCTTTCTCATCCATTAAGGAGTATATGGAAGATTATAATTTTTATGTTCCAGCTAAAATGCGGTCATGTGTTCCACTACCATTGTTGCCGTTGTGTTCTAATGAAAAGATGGGTGGGACCCAGGATAACGTTTGCGTTTTCTCAGTGTCCAATTTGTAAGGTAATGTTGACTGAGTTTTTAGGTTTGTATTGTTAACAAAAAAATGTATTCACTAAATTGAAGTTGTTTGCATTTACACAGTATGTTTGTGTGTTTAGTGTAACATAGAACACCCAGTTCTATCAGAACTCTTGGTGCCAGTGAAGGAACTTTATGAAGACGTGCAGCGCAAGGCAATGATGAGACTAGAGTATGAAGGACTGCACAAAGTGGAAGCAATCACAAGCCCTGGTGCAAGATTTCATAATGATCCAGCTAGTTATGCCATGGATAGATATGCCTATTATGTATGTTACAAGTGCAACAAGGTAAGGGCCTAAACAGTCCCTTTTGGACCTGCCTAAGGTTTTGTGAAATGTGTTTGAAGAGAATATTTGTAATTGAGACAGAGACATGTACATTTGTTTACAGATCTGATGATACCATGCAATGGAAACAAACTCTGGTTTTCATAAATATTGGTGTATTAACAAGAAACTTACCAGTGCAACTGTGTTGGTGAACTGGTACAAGAAAATGCAATGTTTCAGGCTTACTATGGAGGGGAGGCACGCTGTGATGCAGAAGTGGGGGAGGAGTATGACCCGACAGAGCTGGTGTGTGGTGCTTGCAGTGATGTTTCTAGAGCCCAGATGTGTCCTAAGCATGGCACAGACTTCCTGGAGTACAAGTGCCGCTACTGTTGCTCTGTTGCTGTGTTCTTCTGTTTCGGGACTACTCATTTCTGCAATGCATGCCATGATGACTTCCAGCGTGTTACCAACATTCCACGGCTTGAACTGCCTTCATGTCCAGCAGGTATGTTAATCATGATTTCCAGTCCTCACTGTCTACAGTTTGAGGTGGAATCTGTATCACAGAGAAATGTGTCTTTACAAAATGGCAGGAGGAAAATTGAGCCATGCCAGATTGTTTTGAAGAGTAGTTTATATTTTGATACTGGAGAGCAGATTGTATTTAATGAACTGACTAGCTAACAAACAAGGTGTTCAACTAACTCATTCTGTGGTGTTAGAACCTTAAGGTTATCTTTCCACTGAACTCTGTCTTGAACATTTCTCATTTAATTCACATCATTACAACATGCATATGAGTTATAGCATTACTGTCGTATCTGAATCTGAGTCCTTTGAATGGCTCCTTTCAAATGGTTCACCACATCAAAATTCTCTATATCCATGTTGCTTCCCCATCCAAGCTTCCTGTCCGACCTGTTGTAACAGTGTTTACACTATCAGAATTGTTAGGTTTGTCTGTAAATATGCCATTTATTTATGGCAGAGCAAGAGGAAAGATGATATTCATACAAGATATGCAGTTCTTGTGTTCCATTTTCATACTTAGAATCATTATCATATTAATGTAATAAATATACTTACATTCATCACAGCAATATATACTAAGTAATTAAAAAAAACAAAAAGAAACATCGAGCAGGATAAGATGGTCTGTTATGAAAACTTTACAAACAGGAAGAGTGCAAACTGGTGTTGGTGAAGATATTTGTGTTTTTTGATACTCCAGGTCTATGGAACTGCAATTACAATTTTGCTTTCCAGATATGATAAAGTTGTGACATATGATATTGAAAAATTGTTCTATTTAGTCTGAGATGGTTTGTCACTCTGTTTTATCTAAAAAAGCATCTTACAAGAATTCCAATTCACAACTGGCTGCGTAAACTTGTAATGTACATTTTCTAACCCTGTTACATTATTTTAATATACTTTAGATTAATTTTTAAGAAATCATTGCATTTTAAACAGCATTCAGAAACTGTTTTTCTTCACCTTTTGTTCTTGAAACAGAGGCAGATTTTTGGACAAGTGTAGGCTTAAGTAAATGTATTTATATTGCAGGTCCAAAGGCTAAACAGCTGGAGGGAGAGGAGTGCCCATTGCATGTGAAACATCCTCCAAC